AATTTATCGGGAATTTTAATATTATTTTTATTGAAAGTGGCGAAAGGCAGCTTTTGAAATTTTTACGTTTTGAACTCGAATGTTTTTTATTGGAAATGTTCAACACTGTTTGATGAAATATAGACGATGCTTGTTGCGAGTAATGTAAATAATTTAATCGATAAATTAAGGAACAAAAGTATTTCATTTTGATATTTCTCAAATTGATGCGTTATATAAGGTATAATATTAAATAATAATAAAATAATAATATTAAATATCAAATTTTATAGTTTTACAGTGTGAAATCAGGTGGTGAGAGAGAGTCACCTCCCGAGTGCAAAGGGTTGACTTACAATTATTTTCCAAGTTTCGTCGTACATTCTGAATTGACTTTTCGACTTCTCCAATAACGATGATACAATTAACCCTTTGCACTCGAGAGGTGACTCTCACTCACCACCTGGTTTCACATTGTAAAACATCGAAATAAAATAGCTTTGTTCCTCAACGTATGATTTCTCTTCGAGTTAGTTCCACAAAATATCGTCTTTATCTCACCAGAAAATGATAAAATATTTCTAGCGAAAAACTTCCGAGTGTAAATGGTTAAGTATAAGAAATGTCCGAAATTCCATTGACGTGAATGCTACTATAACATTCATTTTCATTGTGATGCAAAATGACATGAATGCTATAACATTGAAATTTATAAGCCACATTGTCATGAATTTAATTCTATATAGCCTTGATTTTTTGAGATTATTATGCACTTTAACCCTCGGAGTACGGCATTTGCATTTTTTCTAATTTTGCGGTTCATTAAAATGTTTACTATCCGCGAACGTGTTAAGGTAAAATTTCAAAAGGTGTCTTTTGACACGTTCGATGGAAGAAATAGTGTTAATCAAACAACACATGGACACGTGGAAGCATAATTAAAAATTTTATTTTACCGATGGATGATGTACAGTCATTGTTTATCTGCATTTGTCATCTCGAATGACACGTGACAAACGACAAAAGAAGGCGGGGCACACGCTCTAAATTACAGTACGAACGTTTACGATCGATCCGCAGCTTTTTTCCTCTGGCAACTGTACGCATTTTGATGAAGCTTTTGTTCTTCCTCGCGTCGCCACCTCTCTGCTCGTCGAGGTTTGGTGCATTTAGAAATATGTCGGAAAAGGTATCAACGGGATTTAAGGATGCGAAAATATTGCGCCGCAGCTGTACAAACAAAGTGTAAAAACATTTTATCCATTTTTATCATGGACGCCGGCGTGTTTTTTCTTTTTTTATGAAAGACGTTTGAAATACCGCTTTCCTACTTGGCCACTCGTTTCGTGGGTCATTGTCTGCAAATAGAGAATGACGGCATTAACATCCGAGCTGATGTAATTTCATGTATCTTAATATACACCCAGACAGGGAACATTTACTTTCCCCAAAAATATTTTTAAACAATTCAGTCATGCACGATTTAAACGTATCTATTCATTGCAATGAGAAATTGAATGTTAATTACAATTAATTCATTGTGAGAGTAGTCACGGAAACTGTGATTAATTTGCACATATAAATTGAACCAGTTAATTCAACCATGATTTAAACGTATCTATTCATTGCAAGAATATAATGAATGAATGTTAATTACAATTAATTTATTGTGAGAGTAGTCACGGAAACTATGATTAATTTGCACTAATATGATTAATACATAAATTTCACCAGTTAGTCTATCTTACATATATAAAATAAATTAACAGAAAAAGCACGTGTTTTTGTAATATTTACTTTTAGGTCGACATAAAAAGAGACTATCATCTATGTTATGATTTAACTGATTATTTTCAATTCGATTATTTTTAGTGTAATCACATTTAACAGTCTATTTATTTAAGAATAAAAAAATACATGGCGGTCTCTTTGCGTCCTAAACTTTTTTTTTACATTCTGCTAGAATTCTTTGAAACGTCTTTCCAGCTTTGTAAACAATCATACGGACGCGAGTGGAAATGTAAATGGGAACATACCAGAAGTATGCCGTCCTCTGTAACTTCATACCGGCGTATCACTTTGTTGTTATTCGGACCGACTGAGACAGTCACTAAACTATCCCCTTCCATTGTGGTACAGTTCTAAAAAAATAAGACAGAGGCGACACCGTAATAAATGCAAATGACAGACATCAACAAAAAATTGTCCTCGTCGCACCGTCGCACGTATCAATCGTAAATTGCAAAATTTAATTTATTCCATTTTGTCAGTGAAGAGAAAGTGTACTCCGCTAGATAAACAATAATACTTCACTTTAAGCAATGAAATTAAAAAAGAGGACAGTACTTTTAACGTAACTCCGCCGGGCATGTGCTCCTCGTATTCTTCGCCGAGAGTAAACGTCAATTCGTTCGTACGAATCATCGAAATGGTACGAATCGTCCATTTGTCACCCTCGTTCAGTATTTCCAGTTGTGGACTGGACATGCACATCATTTTCCGTGGAATATATGGTACACCTGTGAGCGTATACAATTTAAAAAAAAAAGGGGGGAAACAGCACCGGTTTAACGTCGACGTCATCAAATTCGATAATTTTCGACGCGACATTACTCTCGACGGAACTCGATAATCGCACGCGATTCGAATAAATTTGTTCGATACGACTCGATAATAGAATCAACAAGATTAAGATCATGAAATGTATCAAACCTTTATTAAATCAACGAATATAGTGGACAATAGTCAGCAATAAATCACGTACGTACAAATTGATTGTCTTTTGAATAAATTCATTCGATGTGACTCGATGATAAGTTACAAGTAAACAAGATTAACCCTTTTCGCTTGAGAGGCGCCTTTCAGTCATTTGATTTGACCCAAGAGAATGATAACATTTAAAATTCAATATTAAATCTTTATATAATGCATCAACACATGGGGCATCGAAATAAAATAGTTCTGTCACTTAATTTGTGCAAGGTGTTTCTTTATGTTAGTTGTAAAAATATCATTGACATTTCATCACAAAATAATGAATATTTGCTGAGAAAAATATTCTCGAGTGCAAAGGGTTAAGATCGTGAATTACATTAAATCTTTATTAAATCAACGAAAAATATAGTGGGCAATAGTTAACAATAAACCACGTACGTACAAATTAATTGTCTTTTAAATAAATTCATTCGATGTGACTCGATGATAAGTTACAAATAAACAAGATTAATATCGTGAAATGCATCAAACCTTTATTAAATCAAGGAAATATATAGTGGACAATAGTTAACAACAAACCACGTACGTACAAATAAATTGTAAAAATGAAAACATTCGAAAAGCAAAGTAACAAATACGTCGCAATGAAAATAAGTCTGGTTCGATTGTCATTCCTCGCAACGGAAACAACGACGTCCAGAATCACGACCAACTGTCACTTTCTTACAGATCGTACTTGTTTTTGCTGCCGTCATATGGTATACCGCATTCGTTTTTATTCGCCACTTTCAACATACCCGCAGCCTTAAAGTACTCGTCGAGATTTTCGTTCCGTTCGTGTTGATAACTGCCGACGATCGTCGCCATTTTTCGCGTCAGTCGATAACGGTCTAAGATCGGTGATGTAGTCGCGTCGGAAGCTCGTTCGGGACGACTTCTTTCTAAAGGCTGCAAAATGCTCTCGTCTTCAATCTTATTGTTATGCACAGGCTCGAACCGCTTGGAATCTAATAGATTTGCAACGCGCGTCTCGCTCTCATTCGTGCATTCGATTGCATGGAGATAGTTTTTTAAAGCGCCATCTCCTTGTTCTCGAGGCGAACTGCGTTTTCCAGTCACTTCTCCTCTCCACAAATCCTTTATATCTAAATAGTGATACGCTATCTTATAAATATCGGAAACTAGCGCACACTGCATAGAATTATTATTTCCTCGAGGAGACCGTTAGGAAAGCGGTTTTTTTCTTTCGTTGTCTTATTTGTATGTAATTTATGTATTATATTGTTCTGAATGTTCTTTCTTTTTTTCCTTTACTATACAATTTCGTGACCGTTACGTTATTGAAGTACACCTGACCCTCGATTTACGCGAACTTTTTTCATGCGAGCCTCTTTTTTACGCGGTAGTTTTTACGCGCGATCTGAATGTCGTAATAAATAAAATAAACTTTTGTTTTCTAAAATGTCATTATTATTATTTTGTATGTTAAGCTATGTGAAATAAATATGTATTTCTAAAACTTGTATATATTTGAATAGTGCTAATAATTTGTATTTAAGGGATTGTGAATTGATTAACGGATATTGATTCTTGAATTATTTTAAAATAGAAGATTTAGTAAAAATGAGTAAAATAAAAATGTATAGTTGAATTATATATTACAGTTTTTTTTACAAAATAAGTCTCTGCAATAATATGTTTGGTATGAAGATACTTTATTACCACTGCGATAAATTCTCGTCAGACAGATTCGAACTCCAAGCATTTCAGCAAAGTACTGACTTTTTAAAAATACGATTATAATGACGAAACTTTCAAATGTTAACATTTTTTACATTTTAAAAGATTTTATTAAAACTTTATAGTTTATATATTAACTATTTCTTTCTATGAATGGAAGGTAAATTAAAAAAAAAGATATAAATAAATAAAAAACCGTGAATACCTTATAAAAAATTGATATAATTTATGGTTATATTCAGATAAATTTAAAAATATTTTTTATGCTTACGATTGAGAGAATTTCGAAATGAAAAATCCATCGTCCTATATTATTAGAATTTTGAATATAGAAAAGAGAAATTGAAAATTCGTTAGTCGTATCGATGTTACGAATGCTTCTTGTCGTCGAGTATTCAGCCTTGGTTATTTTGTTGTTTCCTTTATTCACAGTAATTTTTAAAACATGAAGTTTGTTGTTTTAAATAATATTTTAAATAATATACAGAAAGTATTTTTAATTTACATGTAGCCTTGAAACATATTTATGTATTTGAGGAATTTAACTCTATTGTAGGCAATGTCCACCAAGCTTGCAAGCACACTTGGTTCATCAAGTAATACAAGAAATCAAATCCATGTGTAAAAAACAACCAGAAGATTGTGGATACAAAGCACAAGAAAAAAGTATGTTACTTTACCTTTTTGCACTTAGTTTCATAAATTCTTTCATAATAAATATAAATTTTTTACAGCATATACCTCACTGAAATTAATGCAAGCCATCACTGGCAAAGTTAATGAAATATGTACTCGCTACCTAGACAATAGTAGATTAGCATTACTACCACCTCCACCTTCTACACCACTGCCACAAGTAATAGCAGGTGGAAATAGAAATTGTAGAAGAAAAATGGAGGATCGCTATGTAGTCTTGCATGACTTACATGCTACTTTTGGTATTGAGGTAACTATATGTATTAAGGTTTTTTTGCTATACCATATAGAAATAAAAATTGAATGTTATCTTAGGTAAATATTTCTCTTAATTATAGGATGAGTCCATAGCAAATTACTATGCAGTATTTGATGGACATGCCGGACAAGATGCAGCTGTATATTGTGCTACACATCTTCATCAGTATTTGGCAGAAAGCAGACACTATCCTACTGATCCAGAGCGTGCCTTACATGATGCTTTTATTACTACAGATACACAATTTATAGAGAAATCTAAAACACAAGTAAGTATCAGGAATTTATAAGCAGCTGCATACTTCTTAAACAAGTGATAAACACTTAATACCGTTTATATGCATTCTAGAAAGTATGCGGTGGAACTACTGCAGTTTGCACACTGTTATTAAATAAAAAATTATATGTTGCCTGGGTTGGAGATTCTTTAGCTATGCTAATAAAATCTAATGGTGTTGTACAATTAGTAAACCCTCATCGCCTTAATCGTGAAGTGAGTATTCACATTACACTTTATCTAATTTATTTTCAATAGTACAAATAAATTTAAGTATACATTTTTCATTTAAATATAACTTTTACTTCGCATTCTATGGTCATATAATATTACATGTTCGTACTCTGTACAATGTATTCTTATTCTTGTTGTATCCATACCTGGAGAAGGATTTGCAGGATCAATGTTAATAAATTCTCTATCGTGACAGTTTTTAAATCTGAGTCCCAGTTTTGGATCTATGAATGGCTGATAGTTTGAAGTTTCATTTAAGCATGTTTTATTCGTTCTCCAATGATAATATGCCAGATCAGATGGATGAGGCCATAGTTTTTTCTTCCCTTGGAAATATGGAATCCAATTCTCTTTTTCAAGTCTTTCACAAAAGTCAATGTAACCAGAGACTTCAAATTGAAGTTTTGTATAGTTTCTCATGAAAATAATAGTGGATATGACTTTTAATCTATTTGAACGTTCACGAAGTGCAAGTTCTTGCATTACTGCATTGCTTGGTGTTATAAACTCTGATGTTAGTTCATATGGTCTATGAACTGGAAACAGTAAATCTCTTAAAGTTTTCAAACGCCGATAAAATACATCTTTGCTAAGTGTTTCACCGGTGCAACGATATCCAAGTTCTGCTAATTCACGAGCAGTGTGTAAATTTCCTAAATATCCAAGGTCAACAAATGTAACCAATGAATCTAAATAATCTTCATAAGTTTTAAATGGCAATAATCTTTTATCACTATCTAGTTGCGTCCCCAAAAGTGTCATTTTTAAATATAATTTCTGTAACCAATGATTTAAATTTGACTTGACACTATCACAGCATATTATTTTTATTGATGATACATTTGACAGAAAATTTTTAGATAAATTTTATATGCATGAGAAAACAATTGAAATTCGGTAGATATAGTATGCTTTTAAAGAGCTTATGGTAAACTGCAAGAAACAAAGTGGTTCTCTTTCTTAGGATGAAGTAGAAAGGATACAAAGGGTGGGAGGAGTAGTGATGCGAAGCGTTGGAATCATGCGAGTTAATGGAGTATTAAGCGTTTCAAGGGCTATAGGTAAGTTACCTCTTACTGGTTCTGTGTCTTTTTAAAAAGTACAATCTATAATAATTTATAAGTATATTTTCAACAACAGTAATAAGATTGTTTACTATTAACAAAAAATAAATAAAAAAATGCTGGTGTTATATAGTCTTTATTAGCAGAATAATCCTTTTTAAATTTATTTGACATGAACAGCAAGTATTCATATTTTTTTTATATTATTATTTAAAGAACATAGATTTCTCCTTTTTTATTAAATATTTGTTCACTTATAATTAATATAGATTTTTTTAGATTATTTTTTAACTATTATCAACAAAGATTTTATTAACGAATTATTTTCTTCCTTAATATTTAGAGTATCTATGAATAATTTTTATGCCGGTAAATAAAAATTTTTAATCACAAAAAAAATTAGGTAATTCTTTAATCATAATAACAAATCTATCTATGATTAATAATTATACTCTTCAATGGGAAGTCAAGGTTAATTTTATCGGATGTTCTTAAAATACATTTACGTACAACAAATTGTTATTACGTTTTGACGGAAGTTAGATTGGAACAAGGAAATTGCGCTTCTTAAGGCGTGGCCGTACGTTATAAAATTTTATTAATATTTAAATAATATTTATTTATATTCCTTCTTCGTACTCACATTCCTATGTAAACACAAGACACACGCGTTAACGTTTGTCTGCACTGTCAATTCTCTTTTCACTGAAATTTTCACTTCACATATGGTCCTGTCGAGAATGACATTCACAGTTGTTTGGAGAATTACTAGCCACCGCTAGATGGCGATATAAGTGTTTCCTTGCAATCGATGAATTGCATTCGACGCATGTGCTTACTACGTATATTTGAAAATTTAAATAGTCACAGAACTTATATTCTTCAGTTCCTACTAACATTAATTTAATAACTTTTACTTTCTTTCGTTGCTGTTAATGAATTACTATGTTTCAGTTTTAGATTAGATTTCAACATACTCGTCGGTTTTTAAATTTACATGTAAATATTTCAAATGATAGAAGTCATTAGAATCAAAATATAAAAATTTAGTTACTACTTAGAATATGTAATTAATGAGTTCATAAAGGAGATTTCAGTTAACAAATCAGGCAGAAAAAGCAAGAATAGGGTTAGTTACATTATTCATATTTTAATAGGTCTACAAAATGGGGAATACAACTAATGTATTTACCAACAGATTCCAATACCAAGTATCTATATACATTAATTCTTACAATATTATACTAGTTACATTAGAGAATCCCAACCTGACCTTTGCTCCAAGAAATCATCCAGCATTCAACATGTTATAACTATATCTAACAACTAATCATCATATTCCACTTATAGTTAAAAACATTGTGTCAGCCAACATCTGCAGCACTACCGAAGAAAACAGTTTCCAACACTCATCAGGAGAAAAACTGTCATGGCTTTTTTGACAATGGTCCTCCATTTTTCAACAGAATGAGTTTCAAGTTTGTACGTTACTGCAATAAGACAACGAATAATGTTACAGTAATAATATACAAGTTATTTAGAGATTAAAAGTCAAAGGAAAACGAAGAAAAACGAAGAGGAAAAGGAATTCTAAGGTCAGGCTTCTTCCAATTGCCTAAATACAGTAACATACAAACTTAAAATTCATTTTGTTCGAAAACAAAGAATCATTGTCAAAGAAGCCATGGTTTTTCATCTCTATGTAGATACACATGTACTATGACATGTATAGGGTTTCAATAGAATCCAATGCCAGTATACATGGCTGCAAAAATCATTTTATTATTTTTATCACTGTTATTATTGTAACATTTGCTATTAACACGTTAAGTATTGTGTTAGGTCACTTCTGTGAATTTGTTTCTACTTGTTATTTATATTACAATATTTTTTGGCGGTAAGTCAACCTAATATACTTCCGGTTCGTTAAGGGTTAGATTTGAGAAGAACCGATTAACCCCTTAATTAGAAATAATGAGTCTCACCTGTACGAAAATTGATTTTGCACGTTATTTTACAAATCTGCCTTATCGTAACCAAAATAATTTTATTTTCATAAGTATATCCAATTAAATTTGTAATACTACAATTACCTTTGCAATAACTGTATAAAATTGCAAGGAAACTAAGTAACGCAAGTAGAAACATCTGAGTTGAAATAAATCGTGAGACGAGAGGTTAACATGGTCAGTTAGCTAGACATTGGAGAATAATAGTCGAAAGTTACAATAGCTCTTGAGAAATGAAGTGAGATTCGTTGAGAAAATGAAGCGTTGACCAGAAAAAGGACGTCGAAGTCTTCGATAAAATCCTTCGAAAATGTCTGTAAATTCCTTTTCTTTAGCATAATTATTTCGACCTTTCAGCTGAATTGCGAAGGCCAACACAATCATCGTAATTATTCGATTGTTGCCTTGAAGAACATGTTTTCCCAGTCAGGTCAACGCATGGACATCTCGTGACGATAAAGGATCGGTTTTCTGAGCGATGAAAAAATTCAGTTGACTGTTCGAACTCGCAAAAGGAAGATCAAGAGAAGAATTCTGATTTTTCGAATAATTGCCGAGACGTTCTCATACGTTCTTAATTATTTTATTGCGTCGATTCTTGTGGGTTGTTCATGTGGTTTCTGAAACTCGACTCCATTATCATCTCAGGAAGCAAGTTCCAAAGCAGTTTTGTTACGATTACTGTGTCTGTTCTGTCTCTATTCGACGAATGATGAAAATGAAACCATTCGGTAGTATTTCAGTATCGTCTTGTATCCAGAATTGACGGACAACGCGTTTCAGAAAAATTACAAACTCGTCGAACTTCTATGTATAGTGTAGGCCGAGGTGAATCGGATCAGTTCAGATTTAACAGTTAATAGTTAAAAGAAAGAGGAGAACCAATAGAGAAACTAATAGTGAAAACATAGAATCAATATTTTTTCATAGATTTCTTATTAATTCAGCTTCAATATTAGTAAAGAAAATGATTAAAAAGCTTAAAAAACCTTCGTGTTAGCAAAAACTGAAGAGAGAAATATCCGATTCGCCCAAAATGTCGGAGTGCTTTAGAAAAATTAGAAAATATAGAAGAACGGGATTAACACTAGATTCACAAAGTTTATTCTACAGTTTATTCTATTGGTTCCGGAAAACTACGTGTTTGTTTATATAGATAAAAAATTATAGTTTCGAAACTAAGGACCAAAATTGGAACTGTTTTTATGATCGAGATATTCTTCTGTAAAGAATAATAAATAATTGTATTTATTATTCTTTACAGAATTTATATTCAACAAAACACATTAACTTCAATAAATTTTTAATATATATACATATATTTATTTATTATATATATTTATTATAAACCACTTCTAAAGATTGTAACAATAGATTATTCTCGTTCTCTTCAGCCATTCATTATAGTATTCCAGTGAAACTATAATATATACTTTCAAAATCATGTCGAATATTCAATGCTTTTAAGATATCAATAATCGCGACACAAAACAATCAAAATCAGCCATTTTGATTGTTACTTAACACCAGAACTACCGAGCATTTGATACAATTAATATGTAATCCCTTTTCGGGTGAGGAATTTCTCTTATTTTCAATAAATCATTAACCCTTTGCACTCGAAAGGCGATTTTAAGTCACCACATGATTTGATGCGGTAAAACTATAAAATCTGATGTTTAACACTAGAACTACCAAATGGGTCAAAATGACCCATTTCGTGATACTCTCTCGTAATTACGGAAAAAGCACAGACGATTTGAGAAATTATTCAGTAAATTGATTTAGATGAATACAAACTGGAATAGAAGGAAATACAGAACTCAATAAATGTATTTTTATACATTCTATAAGGAAATACAGAATAATCAGTTTTACTGCTTGGTAGTGCTAGTGTTAACGTTGAACTTTGTATAATGTCTTGATACGTGAACTATTGAAATAAAATAGCTTTGTTCCTCAATATACTTCTAATTTCCGTTCGAGTTAGTTTCAAGGAATATCATCTCGTCAAAGAATGTTAAACATTTCTAGTGAGAAACTTCCGAGTGCAAAGAGTTAACTGCTTGCCTTATAACAACGTGTCAGACTCGTGGTAAAAATTGTAACATAATTGAACAAACATGAATATTATTCGATTCATTCGAATTTAAAATAAATATTATTCTGCTACAATCAATTATTATACTTAATAGCAAACACATAAGTACAGAATATGTCTATAATTTATCTCTTTTTCCAGTAAATTATTAATGACAAAGTAGTCGTATCAGTCAGAGTTGAGAAAGAAATCATGGAGCAAGAGGTTAACACGTTGACTGCCACGTCAAATTACTTGACAATAGTTATAATTTGTCAGATAACTAACGTCGAATGGAAACATTTCATAGCGTATGTTACTAGATAACAGTGTAACGTAAGCATTGCGATATCAAATAATAAGTAACAGTTCCTCTTTATCTTTGTTACAAAAGAATAAGCGATACATAAAACTCTGAAGGTTTTTGTGGCAGTCAATGTGTTAATAACGAAGTAGTTAGATCGATCGCAGTCCAGAAAGAAATCATAGGACAAAGGGGTTAACCGTGTTAGCTGCCGACCGACTCAATCGGAGCCGCCGAAAAGTCACGTGCTCGCGTAGGGTAGCCCGGGTAGGGCGGGTCAACAACGGGTACCGCCAGCAGGTGTCCAACTACGGGTCAGTCGTCGCGGGGGAAGGGAAAGAAAAAATTCTGGACGCGTGTCGGGTATCCTGTTGGTTCCGTACGACCGCTGACACAATAGTACGTGCAGCCATGCTCCGAGCAATGCACGCTTTACTGGGTGGTTCGTACAATCGCATGCCCGGAATAATTAACAGCCCATTACGCCGTTTTTGCATCGCGAGAGGACGCGTGTCTCGGTGGTCCCCCGCGTTCGCAGGAATTTCTCCACGGCTCCGCGAAATTTTACGACCGATAGCATTTCTATCCTTATTATCGTTACTTCCGCTAAGCTTCACAATCGAGATCGGCGACGGCGTCCCTTCCCCTAGCCGCAGCTGCTCCGCTGAACTTCGAAGTTCAATTTAGCGAAAATTCTCTTCAGCTATATACACCATACCGTCCACGAGTAATTTGGGGCATGTGGATTATTCTAACGGGCATACATTACGGTGAAAATCTGTTGCTTGGAACCTGCCACTCGTGACACGGGGGCGGAGACGGTTGCTTTGAGAACTCCAATTGGAGTCTGGAGACGATTCTCCGCACTCTCTCTCGCGCGATCTGATTGGTGGGCGCCAGCGCCTTAGCCAATCAGGCGTACGTCTTTGAATCTGACCACTTAGACGAGAGTGCCAGGTTCCTTGCAACAGGGATACATCTGTTTTCCAGTTTTGTTCCACTCGTGCAACGCAATACGTTTAACACCAGAACTACTGAACTCAAATTGATTTTTCGAATGTTTTCTATAGAAATTTCGACAGTGCTACTATTCAGATTCCTATTGATTTATAATTCAATTTGCCTATTGCTAAATCAATTTCTGTAGTAATTTCTCAAGGAATTATCTGTTATCTTTTTAATAATTGTTAAAGAAGCAATCAGAAACTACCTTTCTGGTAAGTTAAAATCCTGATCACGAGTCTGATACAATATCATAGAGCAAGTTAATGAGAATCATGTACGACGTGTTTAATTAATTCTTGATTGATTTATACCTCCATTAATACTTTCTCCATTTAAAGATCGTATTCATGAATTCTTGATTTCAACAAACACAGTCAAACGTAACTTTCATGGTTCCCAGGTATGTTTAATACCTTTACACTCTATTCTCCAAAATTTCATCAATAATCTTCTCAATATTTCAGTATTACATTAAAAATAGTTTAACTTATTCCTAATTTCTTTATTTTCAGTTATTGAATAGATAACACATGCTCCCCTGAGAAATTATTAAGCAAATTGATTTAGCAATACACAAACTGAATTGGGAACCAATTAATGTCTAAATAGTTGCACTATTGTGGTTTCTACAGAAAAATTTCGAAAAGGCAATTTCACTACTCGGTAGTTCTAGTGTAAATATTTTCCATTTAAAGATGGGAAATTGACATTCTAAATTCGTCTAATAAAAAGAATGGATTAAGTTCGTTTGCCGTTATTAATCATCGTTTTGCAAAAGACGATTAATTAAACGCTGGCCGGCGAATCGCGGTAAATTGGACTAATGCAAACGCATTTGCAATAACGCGGAAAAGATTAAACGAGTTCATTGGTACGAAGCGCAAAGGAGAAAGTAACTCTATAATTAGTCACGATTCTATCCATATTTTGTACGTACAACATAATCGTTCGCATAATACTCGCGGCTTATGTAAGTTTCGTTCCGACCCGTGAAAATTGGTTGTTCGTGACTGGATCAATACTGGACATACTGTCCGAAAAATGAAATATTTATTCATTCCGATCCTCGTTGTAGATTACATTCTTTCGAGCCGAATAACTGCTTTGTAAGATACCAAAAGCGAATCGAGTCAATTACACTCGTTAATTGCGGATTTCCATAAACTCGGCACGCAACCTTTCTATGATACATTGTTGTACAACAATCCGTGAGGATATATTAAAGCAATAGTTAATTATAAATAACGTTGTCTCACTGGTGACTTGGAATCATTGCAAATCCCGCGGGATTAATAAATATACCAAGAACAATATCTGATGTATGAATACAATCTTGATACACTCTGTACGAGCCGTTCGCGATGATCTGTAGAATTTTTTATCTGTTAAGAATATCAATGTTTGATAACGTAAAGACAGTGGGGTAAATTTCGTAATTTAAACGACAGATTTTTAATAAGTTCGTTAGACGGTTTATGGGGTCGTTCAGCAATCGGTGAGAAAGTATAAGAATTTTTTGTAAATAATTATTTAATGATAATATAAATGTGTAAACATTATTAGTATCCATATATTATGTATTATAAATAATATGAATATTATCAGTATTAATAATATTATATATTACGAATAATATAAATATTACCAGTGTCGATAATATTATATATTATCAGTCATATAAATATATAATATATAAATATAAAATATATAAGAATAATATAAATATTCTGAGTATCAATAATATTATATATTATCAATAATATATAATATATAAGCAATTAGGAAAATTTCATTCGTTCAGTCCCCGTTCGTTTCGGCTTTCTTTTTTTTGCAATTAGATGATGCACTGAAATGAATTCGTCGATCGCGTTCAGGCAAGGCAAAAGAAGTGACAGAGAAAGAAAATTTCATTCTCCGTGACGCGCAGTTTTATGGAATTCATGATAACTGTTACAGTTACCCATCGTGCATAAGCGTCGTTTTTTACATCTGAAAAACACGCGATCCCGGAGCGTGGGGGGTATCAGTATTCAACTAGACCGTAATTAACTTTAATTATCTATTTAATGAATGGTGCAGCTAATTTAAATAATGGCACTACCGTAGCATAGACGCTTCCGGTTATTATAAATTTATGCGGTTTTTTCCATCGCTTTGCTACAACCATGAATGAAACTGGGAACAGTTAATAATTAAGGAATCATGGAAATTCGCGAGGGAACAAAGAGAAGACCTACCGATACTCGCCGAATCTTTAAGAAATATTTCAGTTTGCTATAACCTTCAATCAAATTCGGAACGAGTCATTTTCATACAGTTTTATTTGTAGTATTCAGAACTTTCTTGATTGGTTCAGTACAGTTAAATCGCTTCTTCAGTTATACGTCTGCTGTATCGCGAAATTATCATTTCAATAAATGTTGACACGATGCGAAAGAATAAATATATATTTAGTATAATATTAAGAAACTACTGGGAATTACGTAGTATTAACTTAAATATCAGTTTCTTTTGTAAAGCTACCACATGTTTCGTAGTATTCATTACAAGTTTAACAGTTTTCGAAAGTTTTCATTGGTGCTGGTTATTTCTTACGTTATTCATTTTCTTTCATATCTTTTAATAATTTGTTCCCGTTTCACATTTCGTTGCATATTTATTTCATAATTATACACATTTCACATTTCTTTGCATATTTACTTAATTTCTTCTCAATTTCAATTTCTTATTTCATTCCTAATCCTTTAACACATAGAGTATCGGCAATATTAACGTTATAATATGACCTCTGCTATTCAAGAATTCTAAGATGTTTCAGAATTTTGAGAAATTAATGTATCCACTTTTCACGTTGCAGGTGACGTTCTTTATAAACCGTACGTAACAGGTGAGCCGGAATTAGGGTGGGTTAATCTGGACGGCAGGGAGGATTTTCTAGTTATTGCCACGGACGGATTGACGGATTACGTCAGGCCTGCGGAGATAGTGACCATCCTCTATCACGAGATACAACGAAATCCGAGTGAGTACGGGAATTCTTTGATTTAACGTAACACAGAAATAAATTAAAAATATTTCGTTTCAAAGTAATTAGCTAGTAAAGTAATTTAATTTCATTGCTTATACAGTATACGTATTTGCTATCGATGAGACATCGTATAAAATCAATAATTTTATCTATACTTCAATATTTATTCGCCTTTTCTCGTAAACACTATCTTGTAAGTTGTTTCTAGGTGTACAGTGATTCTGTTAACATGTAGTTTCGCGTAACACGACGATAGTTTGAATTTATTTATTCTTCTCAACTATCAATGACTATCAATTACACGGTAAATCAGCGTGACTTCACCAATTTCGTGAATTCGAGACTGGTCAACCAATCTCGATCGTTTTACTTCGGTACTTCTCTAATACGATCGTCAAGATAATTACCTACGTTCGATCTAATCGGAAGGAAATAATAATTTCCAGTGAGAAAGATGATTTGCGCTTGGAAAAAGTATACAAACAACTTAAACTATAATATTATTAGAACCATTTATCTATCTTCGTTCTCTTTAACATTATGATTTAATTAGCACGAAAGAAAGAGCCAGGAATTGTCGAATTGAATCGGTTATTCCAGATCGAAGTGAAAATCAAGGGAGAACGCGATGTCGCGTGCTTAGTTATGTCCCATTAATTTGGCCGATGCATCTCAGAAACGCAAAGATTTCCACGTCACGAATAGAACAATCGAACCGAGTAATTAGAGTTATCGCGATGGAATAGATCCATATGAAATGATCGTGAACCTTAAATTATCATTAATCTCGTTAGGTTTAATCTACGATCAGACGAATGCAATTTCTAGGGAAAACAACGGATTTGCTTGCCCTGCCAAGTGAAATGGAACGGACTTCGACCTTTTCGTTGCTATAACAAATCAATTTACTTCGTGGATACACACGTTTCTTTCTTCGTGCGTTACAATCCATTTGATTACGCGTGTTAGATAATCTCTGAACGTATTCGCACTTTCTATTATACAAACTGGCGTAAAAACGAGTCGAAACTCGAGTCATTCGCGTCATTACGAGCGAACACTGGCACGATTAACGCGTTGCGTATTGGCAACGAGGAATCTCGTTTTTCTATAAAGACACTTAGCTATCGAACTTCGCTAATTGCTACAGCATTGGAAAAAATATTGAATTTCTTTCGAATAGAGTAATGAATATCAACATTTCGAACAGGACTGAGTAAACATAGATATTACTCGATTCTTCTGAATTCAGATGAAATGTTATCATTTGTTATGGTTTATTATACTTCTGAGTAACACATAGAATGTGTCCAGAATTTTTTCATCGTCAAACACAAGTGAGTATTGTTGTAATCAATAAATTATTGACGACAAAATGTGTCGATAGTAATGTCCGGGTGTATTGAATCGTTCAGAAGCCAATGGAGTTAAGTCGATCTTTCGATATTTTCTGATTTTTTTTAGTTTTAATGGAATAGATAATATTCTTTTTTAGTTGTTCAATGATTTACTCGGTTCTTCGTTTTTCCTAAGTCAGAAAGCCCTTCTTATGGCTTCTGAATATGTTGTATAATCATTTCAGGAGCGGAAACATTAATTTTTTTAAATTCTCTTCTTTGCACTTAATCGCATTGGCTTGTGAGTGACTCAATAATTGTACAACATATTCAGAAACTATAAAAACAAGGGCTTTCTGTCCTAGAAAAAAACGAAGAACCTAGTAAATACTCTAATAATTAAAAACAATATCCTCTACCCCACTAAAATTAACAAAACCCAGAAAACCTCCAAAAACCGACTTAACCGCACTAAGTTAATCGTCTCAATTATTATACAATATATTCAGAAGCTACAAAAAACCCTCTAATAATTAAAAACAATATCCTCTACCCCACTAAAATGAACAAAAATCAGAAAACCTCCAAAACCGACTTAAGGCATCAACTTAATCGCCTGAACCACCAGTCAGCGAACAATCAATGAAACATTACAACCATGAACACCGCTGCCGAAACAAACAGTGTCCACTTATCCATACTGAATAATGCCGAAACAAAGAAATAAATAATACAATGAGTAACGTCTTCATTGAAATACCGGTAGCTAGCAGCCGCATATCCAGCGGCTACTCCCGGAGGATTTCACAGTAATAAAAAATAATTTACGAGCAGGCATGGAAGAGTAATTAGGAACGCGGCCGTTAGATGCTCGGTTGTTCGTCGCTTTCAGCGCTCGCACAATGAGAATATCTTGACCCGTATTCGACGCCGCGGTTTCGTTAATGGCGAGCCGCGAGTTCGGTGTCGAACTTATCCGCGAGCCGGAAACGTTCTCGCAGTCCTCGAGCGTCGAGCAAAAGATGACGGGCGATCCGATCGTTCGAGAAAGTAAGGAATTTCGCGGTGGAAAACACGAATCTCGTTACGATTTGTACTCCTTCTGCGCGCGGCTGCCAACAAACTGTGTCCAGCCCGTTCCTCGTGGCGTTGTCATGCTCTGCTTCTTGTTGGCTTCAGGGACGAAGATCGGAACAGATTACCCGACGCTCCTTTCGCGAATGTTCCTCTTCTCCTGCTGTTTTTCTCTCTTTTTTTCTGTCTTCTTTCGCCGACGAAAGAAAAGTTTTCTTTCGCTCCGCTCGTAGAAATTCCTCGACGCGGGAGGTTCGTTCACCTGATGACTATCTCTAACTGATGGAGAACGCTCCCGAATTTCAAGTTAACCCCTTGCGGACGAGGATTTGTTAGGTGTTTTGATAGTAGGATTTGTTGTGACGAGTATTTAGTGCGATTGATGTGTGAGGTAAGCAGTTGTTGAATAGTTAATAGGTTGATGTAGATGGTGTTTGTAGTTTAATGTTTCTGAATGTCGGTGTAAATGACGATGGATGTTGTAGATTCGTAGTATTGTGAATGTATGGAATCTTAATCGAATTTCTCAAGAATCAAGTAGTTCACTGAAAGAAATTGCTTTTGTTGTCCATCCACGATTTCAGAGTGAGTGTCGACGTGTCGAATAAAAACTAAATGTATTCTTTGTGTATATTTTGTTTAGAAATAAATAATTTAGATGTGCAAAGGTTTTCAGCTAGATCCTTTTTGCAAGTTTTCTTAGATAAAAGCTTTAAGAATGTTTTGTTATTACCCTATATATATATATATATATAGATACATTTCCCTAATTTCGTTGAACGTTCAGAACGGAATCTTGTCTTGAATTCTATGGAGTCCGGTCGAAGGACCTTGTCAGTAGGATTTGTCCGATTTCCTGATCGGGCAGCAATTGGGCCAGTTGCCCTCAGCAAATTGCTTGCATTCCCATTGTCAGGATTCTATTCGAGGACGGTGGTCGGAGGGTACCGGCTCCGTCACAATGCCGATTCCTACGACTAATTGCAGGCGCGTGCGACCGGCACGTGGCGCACGAACACATCTGTGGGTTCCTTCGTTGGATATTTAGCAGCGTTGTAAGTTGCAACTGCGGATGGAATTCGGGCGTCACGAATGTTTCAATTTCCCATCAGAATTTAACAAACTTCACGTAGAATAAAATCAAGTCTCATTTCATCCTTTGCGCTTCTATGTCATATCCAGTTTCATTCACAGATGTGATTCTTTGTTAAGATATTTTCCAAATGGATTCTATTATTATGTTATTTTGAATATTATTATTAATTAGTGATCCCATCGTTCGCCAACTGCAACTCAGACCGCGGTCTGACCGAGTGTAATTACCCACGGTCGAGCTGACGCGATCCCGGAGGAGAATTTTGATCAGCCATGGAACACTTACTTCTGGCTATTTCACATTTTCTAAGATCCATTGCGAGAATAACGTTACGACGCGTTCCGTGCCAGCGGCGCGTTAGTCGATCGCTTAATGAAAGTGCCATTTTGGCGCGTGTTGAATGGTATTTCATGTTGAATGCCGTGGGAGTCACCGGTGACCCCAAGCAAATCGAATTACTGTAGTTCACTCAGTTAAACTATGATTATTTGAGAATATTTCTGTATTGTAAATAATACTACCTAATATGATGGCACTCAGTCATGTCCTTTCACCATAGCCATTAATAATCTTTAAATTTGCACGTGACCTTAAACACACAGTAATAATAGTAACGAAAATTCGTTAAGAACTATGAACTCTTTTTAACTTTTAGAATGTTTCTATGTACTTATTTTAGACTGATTTAACCGTTTGGCTGCTGACATATTTTTTTCGGACATATGCCAAAACTGCGGCACTAATTGCGCATGTATGGGGAAAAATGGAAAACACTTTTCATACAATAAACTCACTTCCATTGCATTGCAACAACAATTTTTAAAAATACCATTTATTTACTTAAAATTGTTTTAATTCATTTTGTGGATAAAATTAGTAAAAACGCAGTCTTGGCATAATAAAAAAGAAGCGCTATCGCGCTCTTCGCAATTTTGGCAAAACATAAGAGCAGTCAAACGATTAAGTTTAACATATTGAATGCTATGGTGATCACCAATGACCCTCAAGCAAATCGAATTACTATAGTTCACTCAGTTAAACTGTGATTATTTGAAAATATTTCTACATTATAAATAATGCTATCTAATGCGGTGTCATTCAGTTAGATGAACGTGCAATAATAATGCAATTCAATGGAACGATTGAATGTTCTATTTTTTCCATTTATATTAATTCCTATTTTATTTTATTCATTCTTTATTTCCTTTCATCCATTTACTATCTTATCAATTCTAAAATCGTCCGATTAATCACTTCTTCAATTGTCATCTTGCCTTTTATTCAAGTCTCTATTAAAAAAGTTTATCATCTAATTCGTTCACCTTCATTTTACAACTAATTATTTAGCTCTTTAACCATTTGCACTCGAAAGCTTTTCACTAAAAACGTTCAACACATTCCTATGGGGCGTAGACGACATTATTTGAAACGAACTAATGAGAAAACATACGTAAATTAAGAAACAAAGCTATCTTATATAAATATTT